ATTGATTTTGAGATTTCAAATATATCACGATCATCAATTCGACGAGTATGACAAGTTAGTTTATTTATTTTCATAATATTTGGCCGAAGTTGACACTAAAGTCACTTTTTACAATTTTCATGATTTTATACTTAACCAATTTTAATTTTTTTTAAAACAATTTTCCACATGCATGAAGATTCCAAATATGCAAATGATATGTAGATGCTTGTAGAGAGAAAGCAGAAAAACAATGTATCGGGAGATGTAGCATCCGGCCTTGAATCTTCCTTAGTGAAATACTATTGGATTTACTTGGCTAATTGGTGAATGCTATGTATTGAACAATTTAGCCATTGGTATAAACCAAGACAACAATAATCACACAAATATATTCTCTAAGCCATTCTAGTTCTCAAGATTATATTTATTTTGACCCTGAAATACCCTTAGGTTTCATAAGTGTTTTTAGAGAATTTTAACCTTAAACAATTCTCATCGAAGTGACCCAATTTCACATTTACATAGGTGACCTATTAAGAATATTCTGTATTACTCCACTTGAGTTAATCAAGATATAGGAATCATTAAAAGCATATCTTAACCTTTTCACATTATGCAGAAAGCACTTTCAATATCATAGGAATGACTCAGAATAATGTTCCAAGTGTTTGATTGAATATTCATAACTTAGTTGTCCCATTGAACTAATATCTTGGGATCTTCAGTCAACAAAGTATGGTTACCATAACAAAGGCTCTTACATAGTAAGCTTTAATCCTATTTCTTTTAATAGGCAAAACGTTTGATCTCTCGATAAGCCTTTCATAAGCAGATCCATGATGTTATCCTAAGATTTCACATAATCTATGGAGATAATACCATTTGAGGTCAGTTTCTTAATGGTATTATGTCTACGATATATATTTTAGACTTATCATTATACATTCTATTTTGTACCCTTCCAATTGTCGATTGATTATCACAATGTATACTTATTGCATGTACCGATTTAGGCCAATATAGAATGTCTTCTAAAAAGTTACGAAATCATTCTGCTTCCTCACATGCTTATAACTAAAGCAATAAACTTCGATTCCATCGTTGATCGAGCTTTACAAGTTTGCTTCATAGACTTCCATGACACGGCTGCCCTACCAATAGTAAATACATAACTACTAGTAGATTTACATCACAATATCTTTCCAATACTACAAGATATTTTGTGAAGTGAAATCCAAAAGTTAAGATATTTTTTAAATACTTAAGAACCCTAGTCAAAGCCTTCCAATGATCATAGTTTGGATTTTTTGTGAATTTAATAAGTTTATTCACAGCAAATGCTATATTCGGTCAAGTGCAGTTCATAATGTACATTAGTTTGTCTATAACATGTGAATACTTTAGTTGTGACACTTGTTTACGCATATTCTTGATTAAATACAGATTTAAGTCAATAGGATTTTCGCAGGACTGTCCTCAAGTATATTAAATCTATTAAGTACACTTTCAACATAATGAGATTGAGAAAGTACAATTCCTTCAAATGTTCTAGAGATCTTAATCCCTATATCAAATCATTCACACTCATGTCAAAATGTTTCGTTAACATTATCTTGGTTTGTATGATTATTTCGTAACTATTGCCCATAATCAATATGTCGTCTACATGTAGACATACAATCACATAAGCCTTTGGTATATGTTTTATGTATACATACTTGTCACACTCGTTAATTTTAAATCCATTTGACAACATAGTTTTGTCAAACTTTTGATGCTATTGTTTAGGAGATTTTTTCAACCCATATAGGAATTTAATGAGTTTACAAACCTTTGTTTTTGCTTAGGAGCAACGACTCCTTCAGGCTGCTCCATGTATATTTCATCTTCTAGCTCACCATTTAGAAATGTCATTTTCTTGTCCATTTGATAAATCTTAACGTTATGTAATGCAGTAATTGCAATTCGCAACCTTAACGAAGTGATTCTAGTCACAAGCGAATAGGTGTCAAAGAAGTCAAGTCCTTCATTTTGCCTATATCCTTTAGCAACTAATCTAGCTTTATATTTATCAATAAACCCATCCAAATTTATTTTCTTCTTGAAAATCTATTTCCACCTTAAAGACTTATTTCCGAGTGGTAAATCAACCAACTCACAATTATGGTTTTATATTATAGAATCTATCTCACTATCGATAGCTTATTTCCAAAGTCTAGACATTGCTTCATTAAATGTCTTTGGATCATTTTCTACCATGTAGGTTAGAAAATAAAGACCAAACGAAGTGCATGTTCTAGCCCTTTTACTACGCCTTGGTTCTTCATCATTTGAAGTATCATTTGTAGTTCCATAAGTTCTTTTATTCGAACTTACATTTTTTTTGTTTTTGCATGGAAAGATATCTTTGAAAAATAATGCATTTCTCGATTCTACTATGGTGCCTTCATGTACGTCTTGAACATTTTATTTAGGAACAAGAAAATGATATGCATTACTATTATTGGCGTATTCAGTAAATATGCAATCAATCGTTTTAGGACCAATTTTCACTTGTTTCGGCTTTGGTACTTCAACCTTACCCAAACACCTGTACACTTTCAAGTGTTTATGCAAATGAGGATAACATTTCCATAATTCATATGGAGTTTCATCCATTTTCTTTAAGAGTATCTTATTTAGAATGCTATTAGCAAAGGCTCAAACTTATCAACATTGCATTCATCATTTGTTTAAAAGTTCAGTTTTTGCGTTCAACAGCACCATTCGATTGGGGTGAGTAAGATATCATTGTTTGATGAATGAAAATGTGTTTTGACCAATTTTGCCTCAACACAAACCTCACATATATGATTAGGATCAAATTTAAACATTGAAATTAAATTTTGATTCATAAGTTTAGGCACATATTTGTAATTTGCATATCCTAATTGATTATGCCATAAATAAGACAATTTAAGCATATAAGTAGAATTCAAACTTTTATTCATAATGCTTTGTTTTGATCTAATCGTAAGAACATTCATTTTGAACATTTCATAACATAAGTATCATTTACCTACATACATCTCATTCTTAGGGAATACAAATTTATCGAATACAAATACAAGTTTAAAGCTATTTTTGCTAAGTAGAGACTCGGATACAAGGTTCTTGTGAATATTCGGTACTTGTAAAACATTGTTGAGGACGAGCTCTTTGCCTAAAGTCATCTTCAAAGTAATTTTCCCTTGTCTCTCAACTTTCAAGCTTGTAGAATTTCTCGTAAAAAAGTGTTCACCATTTAGTTCTTTGTAGTTTGAGAACATAGTTTTATTTGTACAAATGTGGTGGGTAGCACCATATCGACCCACCATTTTCTTGGATTACCAACATTGTTGCATTCAGAAATAACCGCAAATAGATTTATCTATTGTACCCCTTTGGATAGGTTGTCTCTTTCAACCAAATTTGTTTATGTTCTTCTTAGGCTTTTAACATTCGTTAGAGCAATGTTCCACTTTTCCACAATTGTAGCAGCTGCCTTTGAATTTTTTAGCATTCTTGGAGTTGTCTCTTTTCGGTGCATCACCCGAGACCTTACGCTTTTTGTTGAACCTTGAACCTGATTCCACGAAGTTTGCTCCAAGTTGAAAAATAGAATTCCTTTCGGTCTTTCTATTTTTCCTCAATTCTCAAACGGACTATCAATTCTTCCAAGACATCCTTACGTTTGTCAAACTCTATAAAAAACTTTAGACTCCATAAAGGTGCGTCTCTCGATATAGCAGCAACTTAGAAAGACTCACTCAACTCCATTTTCTCCGCATGAATGTCATGAGGTAGAACTTATAGTTCTTGCACTTGACTAATGACTGTTTTGGAGTCTATCATCTTGTAATCAAGGAATTTTCCTACAGTAAACTTCTTCGTGCCAAAATCCTCTGTTTTGTATTTTTTTTCTCCAAAGAATCTCAAAGTTCCTCAATTGATTTCATAGCATTGTACACTCCATAAAGTGTATTGCCAAATTCATTTAGGATTCAGTTCTTGTAAAGGAAATTTGAGTTCTTTCATTCATCCAATGCAATAATCGATTCACGATTATTTTCCCTTTCTTTTACCACTGGAGTGGTTTTAGTTAAGAACTTTGTCAAGTTCAAAGTGGTGAGATAAAACATCTTTTGTTGACATCTCTTGAAGTCCACTCCTCAAAATTTCTTTGATTTTTCCCCATGTGGAATTGAAGTATTTTGAAGTGGTATAGCCAAAGGCGGAACTACATTGGTTGTACCATTTGTTGTTTGATTTAAAGTAGTGTCAACGGCATTCATTTCTGTTACGTAAACATAAGTTCAACACAAGTAAAATTTAAGAAAGGAATAGCACAAATACATATTCCAAAAGATGAAGTTAACGGGTCTTGATCCAACAAAACAATGGAAAAATATGTCTTAGGATTGTTGGGGATATAGTATTGTGCATGTGGACAATAATTTGGCACAAGTTAACACAGAAGATGTTAAACCACAAATGAAAAGACGGTAGAACCAAAATAAGAGGAAAATGATCCGAGACAAGTGATAATACCTTTTCTTTAAGACAAATTTGCCTTGCAACGGTGATAATGGAACAATGACAATTGTTTCCCAAAATACAACGGATTACTTCCTTGTAGTAGAAGCGCTTTCAACTACATGGCAACAACAAACTTGAATAGATTTTCTCTCTACAAAGAATGACTTTGAATGCAAAGTTTGGGAGAGTTTTTGCAAGAACTTTGATGCAAGACTTGAGAATATGAATTGGATGCAACGTCCAAGTGATCCAATTTATAGAAGATGAGGGGTTATGGATGGAGAGACACGCCCAAAACTCAGCAACCTTCACTAAAGGTCGCAACCCTTGCTGTCGATCACCTACTGCTATCGCGTCGCTCGAGCGCCAAAAGCAAAAACTCTGGCGCTGGGTTGTCGCTCAAGCGGCGGTCTTAAATGCTGTATAATCGATTTTTCTTTCCAGTTTTGGACCACAATTTCCCTTTCATCCGAATTTGATTTTGAGATTCCAAATATACCACTATCATCTACTTGACAAAGAGAACAATTTAATCTATTTATTTTCATAATTTGACTATTGGATCAAATCTGAATATTTGGCCGAACTTGACACTAAAGTCTACTAAGAAAGAGAACGGTCAACGCGAAGGTTCAAGACTTAGCCACCCGATCTGATAGTTTACGATATATATGGATATATATTTAACAACAATATTTTTTTTGCTCATTGAATAGTTTTGTTTCTATATCGGAGAGAAGCAAATGAAAGGCTTTCATAAAAATGAATGGTGCCAATGAAATCAAGTGCTAACTCCCATTTCTTATTGACGTTTTCCAAAGTATGTAATTGAATAAATCCTCCTCTGTCTATTGCGGGTCAAGAGCTGCTTCTCCCTCCCCTTCTTCAAACTCCACATTTTTCATGGTTTTATATCTAACCAATTTTAATCTCATTTAAACCAAATTCCAATAGTGACAACATCCTGTGTTGCCACGCCCACCGTGGGCAAGATAACTCTTGCACACTATGGGTAGGAGATCAAATCTATATAAAGATAATATTTCGTTTATAGCATCTTGGAAATGATTATCACGCCCCATTGCCAAAATCTTTGCTGAAATCGGATTCTTGCGGTGTTTATGGTATAAACTACTAATGTTTTTAGGATTTGCTAAATACTTGAACATTAGTGAGATTCTTGCATCAATTTTGGGAAACTCGGTTTCTCTTATTTATGTCTTGATACTTTCTTGTTTCATGGCAGATGAGTCCCGAGCTGCTTTCCAGCAGAATGAATAATAGTTATAATAGGGACGATACATCAAGGCCAATACCAACCACACTAAGGACTTTATCGTGCCCGAGGTCTGATACCATAAGTGGAGAAGTCCATTAATCTATTTTGGTCCATATTGCTTAAGCTCAACAATTGGTATAACTTGCATGGTAATTGTTGCTTTCTTATTATGTCTATGCAGGGATATTGCTAGAACAATAGCATCCTTGCCGGTTACTCCCGCTTCAAGCCCATTACGACATCATGGATCAGTGCAAATAAACCGTTTTGTTTCTCCAACACACCCGTCTCACACTTTTGTCGACCAAAGCATTTACAATCATAGTGATCACTCCCCATTTCCTGTGGAACAAAACTCCAGAAGAACGCTAGATCAATGGCTCGAAATTCCTCGACTTAAAGCTCAAACACCTGTTAGGTCCCCTGCACGAACCATTCTGTAGAACTTCACATTGTGAATTCTACAGAAATCCAACAGATGCAGAGATTCATCGGAAAATTTCCCCAAGAAGCCAGCGCACAGAAACAAAAGTGCTCGGGATACATTCTCTATAAAGACTTGTATGGACTCAATGATGAAGATTTGAGAGGTGCTCGGCAGCTGTAAGGATAATATCTTTTTTATGTGGCATCAGTAGGATGAGAAGTGATTATGGAGAAACCGATGTTCCATGTGAGTTAGACAATTTCATGTGATCTATAATCACTTATATGTTGATTTCCTTGTCAATAGAGATGTCACACACACACACTCTCTCTCTCTCTATTGAGCTTCTGTTGTATGTTATTAGGGAACAGGAATATTGATGGAGGTAACTAGCATATGGTAATGAATGGTAAGACAATGTAAACCTTTCCTCGTTTGAACCTCACCCTTGTAAAGTTATGCCATCTTAAGGTCTAAATGAATGGATCGTAGCAATATTTGTAAATCATGGATTGAACAGCCAAATCATAAAAAAATTGGATGCTATCATACCCACACACAGCCTTTAATGAGAAAATAAATCTAGCCTATATGTGAATGAGTGCGTTGAATACAAATTAAGATAAATAAATGTTTCCTCTCTAAGAGTTTAAGCTTTTGGACGATGTAGTTTAAGAATAGATACAGGAGATTTGTTTGCTTTCCAAAAGTCCTGCTTAAATTAAATTGGTGACTTCAAATGGACATCTGCTTGATAGATGCTAGCACTCTTCTCTGACTACTTTTTCTTATCTAAAAACCGGAATGGATTTATGTCCACTTTCTGAACTTTGATTGAGATTATATATCATCATACTAACAATTACAGAATACATATCTATTAAAATTCTTTAATCAGCTACGAACCCCCTTTTTTTTTGGTCGCAATTTAGTAACGGATTTGTATAAATATGTTGCTGAGTATCTGAGACGATATTAGTGACAAATTTGAAACTTGAATAACTTTCATCGTTTGCATAGAAAGTATAATACTATAAGAAACATGGCTAAATAGAGAATACATTATATTTTCTCAAGGTTACAGCATTTGTTTTACAAGAGCTAAATGACCATTTTGCTATATACTATGAGAAAAGAAAAAAATATTGAATCTTTGAACCATAAATCAGACCAATCCCATGTATCCGTTAGTACCTCTGGAGCAAGCCTTTACTACATTCTCTCATAATTGAGCTTATCTGACTGCAAGAAGCAATAATCAAGTTTCAGTTTGTGACTAATGGGTATAAGAAGTGCATTACAAGTTCTGATAATGTTTTATGCTATGTTTGGTACATTGATTTGGACGAGATGACTTATCAAGTATATCATGTCTTTCTTCTGTAATTTTGAGTCTTGTCCAATTTAACGTACTATAAAAGTGTCTGAAAAATGGTAGCAGTACCTGGATGAGCATTTCTGTGGGAAGCCAAGCTGGTGCAGTTGGTATTCCTACCCATGCAATCTGCAGGAATGCTCAAAGCTTAAAGAGTTGAAGCAGAGAGTTTTTGTGATCCAAGGGCCAAGACTTGATTAATACATGGTTCACACAAGTTGATTGCCATAGTAAATTTCCATTGGGTTTTCGACATAACTAACATGTAAACTAAACTATATTTTTAAATTTTAATAGATTAGGATTAGTTATATGAATCTATTTTCTTGTTTTATTCAATATATCGCTACTTAATCTATCAAAATATCCTCTCTAGGAACATATTGCAGCCCCAGGTGGTGAAGAGCCGACATGGAGGTGCCAAACCTTTCTGTCAATACCTAGCTTATAGATGGGATGAAATGTTGGAGTAAAATGTATTTCGTCTTAGTTGTAATCAACTTGAAATGTATTAGATAATGAAGTAGTCTCCAAAAGTTCTAGCATATGAATTAGCCATCTTCAATTCTCATTGACTACTATTGCGTCATCAACAAATAACCAAGACGTCTATAGAATCCATTAGTGAAACAGGGCTAACAACAAAAGTCAAGGCAACAGGCGTATCCATTGAATCGCTTTATTTAAAACCTTAAACTATTCAAGATGATCCACAACGAGCAAACAAATACTATTCATTAAACGTATGATATGTATGCAATTTTTGTAGAAATATGAGAAGTAATACAGAACTGGTATAAGCTGTGAATGATATCAACTCACAAGTGCATATTCTCCTGTCTCGAAGAAACGCAAATCCAGCACCTAATACAAGAAGAAAGATCGATAATCAAATATTGAAAATAAGAGAAAAAGGGGTTGTCCAAGTGAATTCTAATTAATTTTCTTATCATGTGCAGTGCAGAATCATTTATTCAAATAATGGATACCTCTCCACGGTCTTCATATATGTAGTCCAGGCCTTTGTAATAAGGAGGATGCCCCACGGATAAATACTGGAATGCAAGAAATATTGACTTTAGATTCTGTAAATGACTAAGAAATCATGATAGTAGAAGAATCATGTTAATTTGTAGATTAGTCCAAGGAATATAGAACAAAATAAGTGGGTTTTTCATTTAAGGAAGATAGGTATGACACAGGAACCACAAACTAAGCCTTTTCTTGCAAGGAATATGAGATCGATTACACGAATCTTTTTCCGTAACTAGGCTCAATTCGTTGCTAGATGACTGGTCCAAAAACTAGATCTTGACGAACTACAACTCTTCACTGCTTTGTCTTTTGTTCTTTATCTTCTAAGAAAGATGTTTCTTACAAAGTACTGAAACATTCATTACAATGTGACCCGATCATTAAGAACATCAAGACAAGTTTTTCTCTCTTCTTCTTATATGTAAGCTTATAAGCCAACCCGAATATGAACGTATCGATAGGGTAACAATTAAAGGGGCCTATCTTATTTTTATCATAAATTCATATAAAATTCCTTTTTTTTTTTTTTGGTATTGTTTCTGTATTCATAAGTACTTCACCCATCATCAATTACCCATCAATCCAGATATGAACATCTGAGAAAAATACTTCACCCCATCATCAATCCAGATAACAACATCTGAGAAAAATATTAAAGGTATTGAAGAAAATACTCACATTTACACTGTTGAGATATTTGTCTTTGTCCACTCTCACAATCTGGCCCTTTTTCACTGCCAAATTAGCAAAAAAATAAATAAATAATAAAATCAAATCAAACCCATTTTTATTTTTATTTTGGTTTTAAATCAATACTCACTAGAATAAACAGGTTTTTTGGGCTTGGGAGGTGCTGTAGTAGTGGGTTTTGCATTGGATGATGAACTCTCTTTTGCTTCAGTCTGGGCAATCTTCTCATTCTGTGGTTCAGAGGATTTTACAGCTCTTATTAATCTTAAGTGCCCAGTTGGGATTTTTCTAGGGTCTTTTGAGAATGTTGATAGGCATGAGAAGGAGCTATGTGAGAAAGCTGCAGATAATGCCATGAAAATTTTGATTCCAAAGTTCCTCACTGCTCATTCTTTTCTAGATAAGGGTCTTATTGTTGAGTTCTACATAACAGATTTCCACGTGTATGCTGGAGGCGTCTAGATTGACTGGACGCTTTTATTCATTTAAATTTCAATTACTCGACATGGTGACTATTTTACTCATTTGTTTATTGGATAAATTTATCTCAGTATCATGGACAAATCGAGACTATTTTTCTTGTGGGGTTAAAAATAAGAATTCAAAAATATTTATGTAAAAAAAAAACTCGAGGAAAACTAAAAAAAATAAAAATAAAAAATTTGTAGGGTCATTTGACCCCACGTGACCCCATGTGGGTCCGGTAGTGCTCATACAATACAACGTTGTAAATGGCAGAAATGTTTTAATTGGAAAGATAAATTATTTTGAGAGGTTATCATGTTAGAAATTGTTTATATTTTTATCTTATAACTTATTACTTTTGAAATGTTAAATATAACATACTCATATATATTTGAAATTTTCGAATTATTATTCATTGATTTGTTTGGTTTTTCAAATATTTTAGAATAAAAATATAAATATCGTCTACAAAATTCTGTGAAGGATTCCAATTTAATAGAGCATTAAGTTATTTATTTGGGAACATATTGTTATGTTGTAGTTGTGAATTGATGATCACAATTAATTTTTGAATATTTTTTTCCAATCAAACCTAATAAATGCTTTGAAGAATTGCCTTTTTGATGATTCACTGTGCAAATTATTTGAGAAGAAAATTTTATCATTTGATAGTATAATATTGATGACCACACTTAACGTTATGAATAATTTTTTCCAATCACACACACATTACATGTCTTCCATCAGTTTTGACAGTTTAATTGTTGAATTCCACATTTTGAAACTGATGGGATAAACATTTCAACTATCTTTTTTACATGTTTGCTATTGTATGGATTTAAATATTCGAATGTGATACTTTCATGTTATTAAATGCCAACATATTGACTGTGCATAATTCTTACAATTACAATCTCAACTTTTCTGGTATAAGTAATCATTTGAGATTTATCGTGTCGCAAGGGAAAAAATTTGTTCATGTAGATGACGAATGAAAGTGAAGAGGGACAAAACTACTTCAATTGTAATTCCCAACAAATATCACCCTAGCGAAACTTGTATTAAGATTGAAGGACAAACTTAGTATTATTGATCCCCACAATCAAATTGAATTGAAGTTCAAAATTCCAAACATGAATATACCTCCAACTGAAATACGCGAAAATGAAAACTTAAATTTGTACATATCAGTTTATAAGGAAACCACTATATGCGTTGCTATTTTGGAAATCAAGCTTCCAAAATCCTTCGTTTGTTGCGACGAAAATTCACCGAAACGTACAATATGATGAGGTCGTTAAAATGCAATGTCTCAAACGATAGTTTACCCGAAAAATTAATTTTTCATATTGAGTCTGCAATCTTCATGATCCGTAAACTGAACAACGTGCATATAAGTTTCATAGATTTTTGTCGCAGCCCACATCGATATCCACAAGTTCTATAATTGCCGAGCATATATTGGGAAGATACGATATTTAAAACCGATCCTACTACTATTACATGTGACATCATAGTAAGTTTGGTGTCAAAATCAGTTATAGCAAAGTTTGCAGTTGTTGGTAATGAATGAGTATGAGCAAGCAAGTTGCATTTAAAGTTTTGTGCTTCTTGTGAATGAACATCTACATTTTGATGTGAGAATAATATGTTAAACAATCAATATTATTCATTACAGACAAGAAAATGTGTAATTGTATTCAATGATCAGTTACATATTTGTGCAGATTCTAAACACGAACGTTTAGATCTACTACAAAAGAACTATAATTTCAGTTAATTTTGTTTGTGTTTGATTGGATAAAATTATAAAAGTCACAAATTATAGTGTGATAAAAATGTATCATAGAAATACTAAAATTTAAACAAAACACATGTCATATCAATTGAAATTGTCTCAAATCAAGAGTTCATTGTGGTGATTGAATTTAATTTTAGAGGCTTCTTTTTCTCATATTGTAAAATATCCTAAAAAACCTTGAAAACCACCATCTCTCCCACCTCCCCAACCTAGACAAAAGGAAAGTCTATGGATCATTTGTGTTGCAAAAAATGATATTTTCTTGTGGGTTTCATTTTAACCATGTACATGTGCATAGTTTCAAGTAGTAATTAACATGAAATCATTGGCGGACCTGGGGGTGGCCTGGGGGGGCACGTGCCCCCCTCCCCAGGATTTTGGGAAATTTTATTTTTTTATTTATTATTATTTTTTAAATGAAATGAAAACAAAGAAATTATAAGAAAGTCCTCAACCTATTCACTTCTTCCATTTCTCCCGTCTCTCGAACTCGACCGAAGCTCCCGCTCAATTGCTCCTCTCCAAAATCGCTCCAGCCTCCAAGCCCTAGCCTCTACTCCGGTCACTCGCCGGTCATCTGACTCACCTCCAAGCTCTCTTAGATAGTCAGTCTCTCCCAAATCCCACTAGGCACTGGATTCGCTGCGTTCTCACGAATCGTACCACTCCGTCTCCGCGCCTCCACTCCACAGACCACAGTCCACTCCTCCGCTGCTGGCAGTTGGCACCACTTCGCCCCTCCACTCCTCTGGCCTCTCTGAGCATTCTCGGTCTCCGGCACTCACGTGGGTAAGTTTTCCAATTTCCACCACTCTCAGTTGATGTTATGACTTATGTGTAATTCAGTAATTGTGTAATAATGTTTGTTATGTAATTATGTACGTTGTAACAGACTAACTGTGGTCTGTAATTTCACATAGGAACGAAAAATGGACTGACGGATTGAAAAAATAGTTGGCGGCTTCACTTCGTGCTTTTTTGAAACAATCTTCTATTCATGTTGAACATAAATAAATTATTGAAATACAATTTTCAAAACCAATTCTAAAAGAAAATTTATGAACTTTCTCAGACACCCAAAGAAAATGAAAAAAGGGCAAATAATAGATTTTTAAATCTGCCAGAATATCTCTGAAAATCCTGAAGTTTGAAAAGAAATTCTTAAATACCAAGCATTCCTAAAAAATGAAAAACGAACAAACAGCAATTTTTTTCGGACAAAAAAAAAAAATCATAGATGAAGGAATCATAGAGATTTTGATTGTTGAGAAGAAAAGATCTCGAAAAAATATTGAAACTGTGATTTCTCTCACAAATTCTTTTGAAGGCACACGAGGTTTCTTTCAATTTTTTGGAATTAGTTTGAATTTTGTTTTTGGGTTGGGTTTAGAATGTGGGTAGGATTGGGTGTGGTTTATGTGGGTTTGATGGGATGTTTGTGTATTATTTTGTAAAATTTTTTTATCTATTCACATCAACATTAATTACAGACATATATGGGATTTAAGTTGTCCGTAACGATAAAAAAATCCAAAAGTGATATTTTTGCAAAAATTATTAAACAAAAATGCTACTTGTACATCACAATTTATACATAAGGGACTACACTCATCTCACATGGGGTGTGGGACCCATTGCATAAATTATTTTTTAATCTAAGCGGGTCATACCCTCATGTGAGGGGGGTGTACACCCCAATGTACAAGTAGCAAGGCCGATTATTAAAAAGTGGCATTTTGAAAAGAAAAATGCTAGATGTACATCAAAAAGTGTACATCAAGGTCTACATCCCCTCACATGGCGGGGTCCACTCGAATAAAATATTCGAGTGGACCCCTTACCCATGTGAGAGGGGTGTACACCGTGATGTACACCCCGATGTACCACTAGCATGGCTCTTTTGAAAAATGCAAAACCAAAAAGAGATATGTGGTGCAATTTCCTCTTAATTTAAATATTACAATAACAAATACAGTTTCATTACTTCTAAATTTCAGGTCAGATATGATTGAGAGAAGAACCTGTAAGATGGACATATGAAATCCTATATTCTCAAAGAACTAACAGTATCACAGTAACATGAAGAAGAAACCTAAAGAATGACAGGAAAAACATGTAAATAAAGGAAGTTCTACAAAAATGTAATAAGATAATTGACACATGTCGACGTCTACTAGTACATTCAAAGTTAGACAATGTAAATACTGAAGGCACACCAGTTACTCTTGCAAACATTTATCAAGATAGTCTGTAATTAATACCTAGGAGTAGCGCATGGCTGTTTACACTTGCAGAAAATACATCCACACACTTTAGTAAGATCAACAACTGAAATCCTATCGCAGTTGTTTCACGACATGTACTAGTAAGATTGTTGCTTCCGAACATATGCTTTTGGTTTTAGCTGAAAGTAATCTTGCTACACTAAGTAAGTTACGTTACATTTATAATCCGCATATTAGTTGTTGATAGTTAAATGCGATGTTTAGTGCATAAACACAGAATACATATGTCTATTGCTTTTAGTTGTGTTGTGAAATGAAAATGATACGAGATTAATCTAATACCACTTTGCTGAAGTAAATAAGTTATTTTAGCCACAATATAAAATAATTGATCACGAGAACAAATAATTTGCAGAAAATGGAGATTTTTTTAGTAATATGGAAAAAAAAACAAAAAAAATGCACAGGGCAAAACAGTCAGGTGTCGCCGGGCCGAAATTTTCTTGGGCCGTAGTGTCTTGGATCCTTTACTTCAAAACTTGATTTTCTTCATTCCAATGTTCTTTTTAAGTCCAACATAAATTCCAACTCATAATTGGGTTTCAAGATAGGACTTCAACTAAAATTCACCAAGTAAACTTGAGTAGGATTCCACAATGACATTTCAAATAGAATTCTTCTTAATGTGTACTTTAATTAGAACTCTCTATCATAAAAAGAGATATAAATGGATAAAAAATAAAATATGACATAAAATACACGTGTCATTATTTAAGTTGGTAATTTGAAATAATGTAAGAAAGAAACTGATAGGAGTTTGATTTTTTGAAGTTAGTAATTTTTCATTTTTATATGAATATCTAGT